TGTTACGCAGACATGTTTACGATTGGAATACCCCAGTCGAACTGGAGAGCTAGTGGACGTTTTCCGGCACCTCCCGCAACGTTTCACAACGTAACAATTGTGCAATGCCATTCATTCGTCGATTTCTGTGTCTCCATCAATAACCAGCAACATCGTTTTTATTTTGTGCGCTACGCTCAGTAATGAAGTAAAACGTTATTTGGCAACATGAGGGAAATTACAAACAATCGAGCATCGTCATTTTCGCCCTGTTCCTGTCTCCCGCAATAATACCGCGGGATAAAACCTCGGCCGCATACAACAGCGCGTCACTAGACGCGTGCGTAAGTCGACGGACGCGCGCGCATCAATAAGATTTGATGGCGGTTTGATCACAACTCCACTTGTTGGTGCCAGTTTTTCCAGACGCAGGATATTTATCGTACATGTAGGATAGTACATTATGTTGTGCGATTTTCGTACAAAAAAGGTATGAAAGTGTACGATAACGAGACCGGTTTGTAAGACAATGTTTTTTATTTCATTGCAATAAATTCAATATACAATATTACTGTCAAAAGTTCACTCTTTTGGCACTTTCGGAAATGTATTGATATTCAGAATTTTCTTTCAACGAAGCCGTAATCCATATTTATAATTGAAATTTGCAGAATTAGGTTTTGTCTTTTAAAAATATGATTAATATATTAATAAAAAATATAAAAAAAAATACGATAATTTTGTGCGTACTTTTAATTGATAATCGATAATTTGATATTACCATCCTACGGTAGTTATACGATAACAATACATGGCACTGCCGGCCGTGACGACCAACTTCAGATAGAAAGCTCTACACGAATCGTTGCTCAAAAAAATAAAAGAAATTAAAAAATGTCATGGTAGAAATGATCATTCACCGCTAATTTGAGAATAGATGCAAGGATTAAAGGTGTCAATTGGGCAAACTTTCAACCGAACCAATACAAAATATTGTTTCTTTGCAATTGATGAGTGTAACAAATAAGTTAATATCACTTTCATTTCAATAAGTTTGAGAGTATATGATGTTGAAACTTTGTTTCCAAAATAATATGCATTTGAGAGATTTTACCAGAAGGAACCACAAAGGGGCACACTTACCGAACGCTTCCCTCACGTTGGGTCCAGTGCCCATCATAGGATGCACCGTGCCCCTTGGAAGAGTGAAGCGATGAGGCACATCTTGTGACATATAGCTTGTCGGAGTCATTGTTGTAGCTTGAGATTCACGTGATACAGGTCGAGAACTGCTGGCATTACTGCTTCGAGATACAACTGTTACATATAACACAATAAGAAAAACTGCTGGCCTCCAGGGCTTCACGTAACTGAAAATTCACAAAACGATTTTATATTTAAAGTTTTGTTGAAACTTATGTTTTGAACTAATACAGAAGTGAAAAGATGTCTTAATAAACAAGCCAACTGAGTGAACAAGATAAGAAAATATTGCATTATGTATCATATTTGCTATAGAGATTTTTGTCAATGTAATTCTAGTAAAATAAATGGCCCTTTTTCATGAAGTAACATTTTAACCAGTTGCACCATTTTAACAATTTGTATTGAAGTAAAATGAATTATTTATATAACTTATTATGCATCTTTTTTATGAAATTACAATGATTCATACATATTCATCAAAACAATCATTTGTATAAAGTATTTTTAAACAAACAAGAAAAGATTACTTTTATTAGTGCTCTCTCTATCAAAAGATGGACAGATCTATCAAATATTGGAATTTTCAAGTTGAAGACAAAAACTATTGAATTCAAATTCCTAATTAGGATTCTCTATGTTAGTCAACATTTTAGGCTTTCTCACTCAATCTTTTCCACGGTAAATGAAAATATATGAATTTTCACAACTACATTCTGCCTCAGAAGAAAATTGGAACAATAGACACAAACCGCAAGGAGAAAAACAAGAAACTTATCTTTTAATATACAAACAATGTTTCACCAAAGTGATTGTTTTAAATATTATTAGTGAAAGGTAGAGCCAATAACAAAACATACTCCAATAAGTTGCAAAACAAAGTTAAATGACTCACCTTCTTCCACAGGTGTACGTGTGTCTGTGCGCTCTTCTAGTCTACTCACACTGCGACTTTTAGGAGAATTCATTCTTCTTTTCAATGTTGAATGAAAATAAACACGCATCTCTCCACAAAAGCCTTCATAGTTATGAAAATTAGACTATCAGGAAATACATGAAGGGACACAATAAGCATCAAAACCCATTAAAATGTTTGCACTGCAATAAAATATATTTCTTTTTGTGCACCCTTTAGTAAGAATTATTGGGGACATATTTAGTGTCTAAATATGTAGAGATATATCAATTTGCATTTTTATATTTTTTTGCACATCGTTTTCTTTCAAATTCTTCATATTTAGTATTTTTGTAGCCCAAACTTTTGCTACAAATATAAGAAAATTTTAAATTTAGCAACATTTTCACTCAAATTTTAAAATTCTACCATACTATAAAATAATTCTCTACATTTCCACCTGGACTAACACATCAAAAGTAATTTAGAAACCCATGTTCACAATGCCACTGAAAAGTCTTTTTAACTGACAATGTTGTAACTTGAACTCCATGCTGAACTGTTAAATTGATCCACTCATTCTATTAGTCTAAATGAACATGACGTGCAACACTACTTGGTGTTCACTATACCTTACTGTTTAACCTGTTACTTACAGACCTTTGCCTCCCCTCTCCTCCACCCCCTCCCATTCTTGTACTACCCACACACGAATCAATGGTAGACTCCGACCTGCTTCAGTCAGCTACTGTCAGTTAATAATTAATGAGGACCCAATAGTTGCCTGGACAACGGGCTGCTATGCTACACAAACAGCCTTTCAAGGTGTGTCAAGGATTTGTAACATTTAGTATTCCTCTCTCCTGGCCTACTTGCCCTCTTAAACAATTTGGTCTCCACTGTGGCTTCAACAACACATTATTGCTCGATGCAATAACTTCATAAGGTGTTGTTTTTTTTCTTTCTTGTTTTCCTCTTTGCAAAAAAGGAAGGGGAATAAAGTTCTAATGATATAAAACAATCATAAAATTACATCATTTAAAAATCAATACGGCTTTGAACTTGAGAAGGCTGAAGCACCTTTCCTTACTTTCCAATTCTCTTTGAGACACGATGACTGGCTCTACCCCATGATATATGAAAAATAAAATAATGCTTTCTTACATACATTAGATATAATTTTTGAGGCTGCAGAAACAGCTGTAGTTCACAAAGCTATCGCTACAAATTTCCTATTTCAAAGAGAACTTTTAATTCTTCTCTTAACCTTCAGTTATACTTTGATGATGCCTTGGGCAAATGACTAAATTTTGACAAATGATTTCTTATTCTTCTTTCTTTCCCTCCAGACCAAACAAACATTACACAATGAAAATTATCATTATAAATCAGCCAAAAACATTTACACACACAAAATATTCAAATACTTAATTTGTAAATTACAATTAAATGAATGTTCTAAACTAATTTCACATGTCAATTTTTAATGCACTTACCTTTAGAAAGAATATCACAAATAAATTCCCGAATACTTGGAGAAGGGTCTTCAATATATTTCTTGGATGTATGGTCTCCTTTGAAATTTCGAAAATTAGGTTTCTTCATGGTGTTGGATTTGATCCTGTGATGCATTGTGAAGAACACAATATGGGATGAGAGTTTAATTTCATGTTTTAGGTGCACCAACTTTGGTTTACTGTGTGAATACAACTTTCTCTTTATGATGAGGGGATGTTCATGCTGGCAGAGAAGTGGACTCAGTGAAATATTGATCTACGTAGCTCACGTAGAAGCTATTCAGTCCGGTTTGTTTATTCAAGATAGCAGACCTCATCATTAAAAGTACAGTCAAAATAATGAGAGCAACAACTCTTTATGTACAAACGGCAATCCAAATTTGAATGTTTAATAATATTAACTTATTTGAACCAGAACACATTTTTGGAGAAATGTGTGAATATTCAGGTAAATATAAAATTTATAACAATATTCCTCTAAAATTTTAGTTCTTTGTTGAATCAGTTTATTCTTAAAATTTTCTTTAGATGAAGCTCTAAGACTTCACTCTTAAAAACATTTTCAACTTAGTTCTGACATTATTGTAAGCATCTATAAATTTAAAAAAAATGGATTTACACATTTTGTAACAACAATCCAGACAAATGCTTAGAAATTAACTTCAAAAGTATTTTGTTTCCTTAACACTGTTTGCTTATAGATAATTATTATATCTGAAATGTTTCTATTCATCTCCAGCCCCTATCAGGAAGATATATCAAGTGTTTATTATTATAAAAAAAAAGCTTTATCTGGCACATTGGAGAACACATTCCCTACAAAGAAATGTAAATATTCCATTCATGTAATAATTTGAATTTATTGTACATAATTTTTAAGCATTTTAAATATAAATATCTGTATGTTAATACTACCATAGGATATTGAATCAGAATTCTGAAGAGAAAGAAAAAGCTAAGCAGCAGGTGGTGGTGCCCTTTAGCCCCACCACAGGGTGCAGGACGCTTGAGGAAGGGGAACAGGAGGGGAAGGTAGGAAATGGGAGGGGGAGGGGGAAAGGGGTAGGGGAGGGAAGGGATGGGAAGGGAAGGGAAGGAAGACTCAATAATGTGTGTCCTCCCCATAGTGTTTTCACTTCTCTGTCATGGAAACCATTGCTAATCAATATCACCACACCAACATACATGGCCCATTTATTGATGTACACAGGAACTTCCAGCAATGATTAGTGTAAGTGAAAAGGGGTATTATCTTCTGTTCCCATTTTCAAAGGAAAATATGTTGATAAAATAATATGTACATATTAGAAAGTGCATTCAATTTTATTATAATTATGAATGTACAGTGAAATGTTAATTATCAACATTCCTATTGGTATAAGTCATTACTCTTAAAAAATGGCTGCTCTCAAGTAACTTCCTCTGATATAACAGTATGATTCTTAAGAATATCTTGTGCTTCTTACACACAAATAAAGGCCACAGCAATTAAAAAGGGAACATACAATGACAGCAGTTTTGTCATTTGTTCTAAAGTTACAATAGCATGGATTAAATCACTTAATAACAACATTCACAAATGCATTTTTATTTATATATACTTTTTTCTTTGCTTATAGTCAACAAAAACTTACTTAAAATTGGCTATGATTCATAAGCTCTTTTGGACAGTAGGATCTGTTTAACAATTGCAATAGCAAATAGCTTAGGCAATGATTTCATTCTAAAAAAGAACAAGCATATATTTACTATTTACATACTACATTTTCATACTTTACAACTGGACCTGATTGAAAACTTTCTATAAACTGTTATACATAACACTGTGCATTGGATTGGCACTGTTTAAAACTTGTAATACTCTTTTTCTGCAAGTCATGATTAGTTATTACAACCACATAATGCTGCCTTACACTTAAAACAAAAACTTTAAAACAATTACATTCTAAACAATATTAATTCTGGCAAAAAAATTCTCATATCACATAACAAACAAAAAACAAATTTACCACATGAATGTTTAAATTCATTTAGTTGCTTTAAAGCAGGTAAACTGAGAAAAAGGAAGATAAAAAAAAGTGTAACGTTGAAAAAAAGAAACATCAAGACAGCATTCATGGTTGCTCTTGCTATTAACTTTATAGTCTGCTTACACTATAAAACCACTATTTTGCAAAATAAACTTTAGCACCCACCTGATTCTTAAATATGTCTTCCACTATGCACTGCAACCACATGCAAACTTAAAGCCTACCTGAATTGTTATACTTATATCATTTGGAAGGTAGGCTAGAAAGGTTTGTGGATAAAGTTTGATAGTCCAGAAGAATCTATGTACGAAACGTTATCTAAGGACAAGGTTCCTGTCCGAAACCAAATACCTGAAATTTCAATACAATATATACACTATGAATCATAGAAACACTTGGTACTTTATTCTTTGCATAGGATCTAATAAAAAGTATCCTTGCTTACACTAGCAATCAACCAGTCATAATGATACTTTTACTTCAGATCTAAAGCAGTCAGTGCTACAAAGGAAGGAGAGGGAAGAGCAGGTATACTTTTTGATTCAATGAATGAAATATCTTTATAATATGAATTTAAGTCATGGTGAAATTATGAAATGAGGCAATCTCAATATTTGGAGTTACAAATTTCTTGACACAGCTTTCTCATGCGACACTGCCTCTGATTTGAGTAGATTGAGAATTTTCTCAAGGAAGAAACTTTCAAGGAAGATACTCTCATAAAGCTGCAATGAGTATCTCAAGTTATTTACATAATATAGCATCTATTATGAAGTATAATAGGTACTCTACAGTGCATGATCAAGTTGTGTGTTAGTGATATCTCCCCTGAAAATGAACACCACAAATAATGACGTTTTAGGAAATTGCGCTAAGATAACATAATTCAAGAGAAACCTATTAATACACACGTACCTGAAAGTATGAGATTTTTAGGTTACTAAAAAACATTTTCTAAAAAAAAAAAAAGAGAGAGAGAGAGAGAGGGAAGAAAATGCAATCATATTCTTTAAGAATAGTGGAACAAATTTCTGAAAATGATGGAGGGCAAATATTAATATTTCTATTTAACAATCTACTAATTTTATAAGACATAAAAATTTGACAAATATACATTTTTAGTTGCAATATACATCCAGAAATAATGCATGTAAAAATAATATTCTCTCAGAAATAATGTGCAGATTCACAAGAAATTTGTTGGTTTTTCTCTGCTAATTCATTTCACTACATCCTAGAATATTCCAAAGAGATATGAAGAGCCTTCAGTAGTAAAAGGTAGTAGAATAGGAAAGATTCAAGAGAAGTATAAGAATTTCATAAAGATGAACACACTGTTATGGAACATGTCATTCCATTCGACAATATACATATCACCTAATGACTAACCTATTTTCAAAAGTGTTCTTCAAACTTCAGGAATTTATTCTTTTTACATACAAAATCATGATTAATAATTTAATATGGTCAAACAATTACTCCCAACACACAAGCCAAACAGTGAAGGAACAATTTGTTCACCCCTTTATCTAATATTATTTTCACATTCTTTGCATAAATTACTTTGAAAAGATACAACAGTCTATGCAAAAAGTGTTTCAAACTCCATTTGAACATTAAAAAGAGAGGCTAATTTTAATGTAGAAAATTCTGCAACTTTTTTTTCATACAAAATAAATTGTTTCATACAGTTCTGCTCTCTTTAAATAAACTGTTTTTTATTTAACTTTTCAGTTTTAAAAAAACACTCTTTAATTTAAGTAATACAGGTTTTAGACTGACAAAATAAAAAAGAATGTTAGAATTAAACAAATTTAATTCATACAACTTAACATAATAAAATAAAACAAAATACAATACTGAGAAAGATGATATGTTGAATGAGAAGAGAGATGTATGAAACACATTTGGTAGGTTAATACAAAAGAAATTATTTTTACCATTGAAAATTAACATATTTAACACAAATATTTCATGAGATTTAGCACAGAAAGATTTAATTAAATGTTAAATACATAACTTCACAAAAATTTATGAAAGACGTATTCTGATCCAATTCATAATTTTTTAAATTTATTTGTTTATTTATTTTTTTCATTTTAACCTTTTGGTAAATTTTAAATTGCTGCACACAACATGAAGCTTACAATTTATTAACTGTAAAGCTTCATCTCTGGGTTAGATTACTTTTTAAATATATAAGTCAGCAAAAAACTAAAACAAATTTATACCTATAACTTCATAACACATTTAAACTAAATCAATCAAATATAGTGAAATGTTTTAATAAAATAAGAATTAAATTTATAATGGTAAACAATTGGGCAAAAAGAAATACCAAAATACAAAAACCAGAAGCAATAAAAAATTCAACAATGTACTACCAACAACCATGGGAATTAAAAACACCCCAATGTCATTTTCAGTTTGTTGGGAATTAAAACTTAACTAACAAGATTTTATTTTGCAAATAAAAGATGTTAATAACAGTAATATCAAAAATGCAGAATAATCATATTAGAAGTGCAAGTGACAGGAAAGGGCAAGTGTATTACTTGAAGAGAGAGAAAAGTGTAAGCTCATGTAAGTGGGAATACAAGAAAAAAGATTTAAAAGATACTTTAAAAAAAAAGCAAACAGAACGCCCTAATTATTCTGTCTATTTCACTATTATTTCTCAGGAATGCAACCTATAGTAAGCTAAAAAAACACAAGCAATAACAAAACAATCTCAAACAGTGAAAAAAGAATTGTGCTTTTATAGAGGAACCGTCATTTGAATATCAAGGGGATCCATATGAATTAACCAACACAGCCCATTTTCTTAAAAATATCCACATAAAGAATTTTTTTAAACCTACATAGACAGCAGAGTTGTTTATCTTCTTAGCTGTTTTTTGTGTCCTTTATGACTAAGATGAAGATGAGTTGTCCATTACAGGGAGTTGAAATTAAAATTAGGAAATTAAAAGTCATATTTTCGAGCTTCTCCTAAGCTAAACCCTTTTATCTTGAGCCCTCTTTCCATTTCCCTTTCCCCTTCCACTTACTTTCATTTACCCTTCAACGTCTGATACCACCACCCACACCAATATCAACACCACCAACACCCTACAAGAACATTATTTCTGTTTAGCATTGAAACCATAATTTTCTACTGGCAATACAGTCTCTTCTTTGCATCATACTCCTGACCATACTCAACAATTTGGGATTAAAGATTTTGTTTTCAGATTTGATATCAATAAAATACACACATTCTTAAAATATTTGAATGTTACCTTCAAAATTTCATACCAAACTAATTATTGATAAAGATACAGGTATTAATTTTAGGGATAACAAGCTTTCTTCGAATCACCCAGACCATGGTAAAAGCAGAAAAAACAACCTTTTAACTGGAAGACATTCAAAACTAATTCTATCAATATGATAAATTGCCAAGAAACATTGATTTAAGATAATCTCATTAATGTAACTAATGAAGATAATCTTATTAATAAAATATGATATTTACTAGACTCACCAAAACAAATACGAATAAATTTATTTTCTATTGCTTGGCAAAATAAATCGATAGGTTATCTCATTAGATTGTTTTGTAAGTGATTTTTGTAATGTAATTCATCATATTCCTAGGCCTCATTTTATATTTCTTCAATACATTTTGAAAACTTGCTTTGCTTTGCCAACAATCTCTCTTCACTCTGATTGTTTGAAATAATTTTATCACTTGTTTCTAAAAACCAGGGACCTAAAAGCAACATGGAAAATACAAACATTTTCATTTTGCCAATATTTTATCTAGAAGCAAAGATCTTTCTTACATTTGTTTCAACACTAGTACATTGCACTAATATTGAAAGAGTCAAGTGGAGGATGTAAATGTGATGGCAAGAAGTGAACATTGAAACTACTCTTCTGTTCAGTCCATCTGTAACTTAACTACCCAAATCATTTAAAAAGAATGTCAGTGACAACAATTTTTTTTAATACCAATACTGATGTGATCAACCAATAATAGTAAAATATATTTTACAATTTAAAACAAATTAAATTTCCCTTTCATAACAAAATTACAATAGTAGCAGAAAAAATTAAACACAAAGGAAGATTATAAGTGGGATACATGAAAACAATCACGTAAGCAAGAGTGTACAACAAAAAAATGACTTAATGTTCAGAGTGTAGCCTGGCTTACTTCAGCCACTCACTGCCCAATCAGTAGCAACTACAACAAATTCAAAAATAAGATTCAGGTTTCAAATAATATTAACAAATATACAAACTGCGGTGAGAGGTTTCATGAACTTGAAAGGCAGAAGCTAGATTCCAACCTCTACATTTTCAGACCATATCTCTCCAACTCATAAACTAAAACTTTTATTTATTGAGCATGTATAAATGCTTCGATGTACGTCTTTTTAGTGGTATCATCACATTATATCACTTCTAAATCTATCCCAAACAAGGTTCTACAACCACTGAACATTGTGAAGAAAAGGATAGTGGAAAAGAATGAAAGATATTTTTCCATTCAGTGCAAAGTGCACAAAATTATATTACCCCAACAGTGAGCAAAAGCATTTGAGGACATTCAATTGTGCAACAGACACAGAAAAATAGTTACCTTTTCTTGGATTCCATTATAATTCAAAGAGCAATGAATACATAATAAGGAAATTGACACACATAACATGAAATATATAACAAAGTCCCAATTTATAAGAGGACTTAATTCTCAGCAATTTTAGCATTTCATATTTCTCTGCAAGGCCCTCACAAGAGCAGCAGATCAAAATGTGCAAAACGTGCTTCTACTTGGGTTGTTTTTTAAATTACATTTTCATACAAATCAACGCTCCAAATCCAGCAAATTTAAATTAGAAATTTTGAAAGTGTTTGTATAAATATATATTAAGGTAATCTATGAAATGAATTATATCAATGGGAAGAAAATTATCAGTAATTAGTAATAGTAATTACAATGTAATAAATTCTAATAATAACTCCAAATCTTGTCTTCTTTGAAACTCTTTGACATATTTACCAGAACAATATATAAATGCATAAATATTGCACAAATTTCAATGAAAATGCAATCTATATATTGCTTGCCCATTTCAATCTCCTCAGAAAGAAGAATTGAAAACAGTTCTCATGCAACACTCCGCTATCCAAAGCATTAATGCGAGGGCATGCTGAGACTCGCATCAATCTACAAGATAAAGAGTTAGGAATTATGGGAAGTATAGAGATTAAAGTTGTTTTTTTTTTCCCTAGTCAAATTGCCCAAATTAAAGAGAGATTAGTCTTAATTCATAATCTATGTCATTCTGCAACTTGGCCTCTTACTTTTGTAAATAGTCTTGAGAAGTATTTGAAACAGACCTTTCCCAAAAATTTCTTTGCAAGATCAACATGCTAATGACCCTGCATCAACTCTATTTTAATTCTAGTTTTAAACCTATTCCTCTATTTCATGTAACTGCTGTAGTAGAATTAAGATGAAACAATCTTTTGAGCATTGCTTATATTAACGTCAAATGACAAATAAAATACGTAAGCAAGCAAAAATAATTTCCACAAGGAAACTCATAAAGCACACACTTTTCATGTAGTGTCGTGGCTTTAATTATTAAGAGCAAAGATTTTTAAGCATATTAGCAACTGAAGGGATGAAAATGTTTCCTTCTACAACATAGGGGCAAATTAAAATTAATTAAATGTTCAATAAACAAAAACCAGGTGAACACTTTCAGTAAATTCAATTAATATACTATTTAAAATTAATTAAGTACTTTTCTAAAAGAAGAAAAAGAAATGCCAATTTTTCAGAAACAGGAAACTGACCACTACCACGATCTAAACTTAGAAAATTAATATTTCAAATGAGAAATAATGAAATATTTATACACATTAACTGAAATCTCCTAGAAATGTGCATCACCAGAGAGAAAAATTTGTTTAGTATAATTACTATTTATCTGTACTCTTTATAATAAAGTGAATGACAAATATCATGACAACTAAGAAACTCAAACGGAGAAAATTAGCTTGGCTTGCCATTTCAGTAACTGGTTTCAAGCCAATCATTCTCAAAATATGTATTTTCAATATGTATACAAAAACTACCATATTTATATTAACACATTAATCATTAATTTGATAATTACACATTTCAAGAAATTTTATAATATTTTTACTTGTGTATGGTAATGATGCAAGCACAAAAGCATCACTTATTCATGAACAGGTTTGCTTTTATTCTACAAGTTAATAATCAGCAACTTTGATTTGTTAACATTTTCTCTTGGTGTACAATTATTGAGCATAATTTCTTAAACAATACAATAAGTCTTCACTTTTTATAGGTTTTCCAATTGTTTATATAATTTTTTTTAACAATTTTAGTTTGTAGAAGGTATGTTATAATTCACTTTCATACCTATGAGATTCGGGAAGGTAGTTTTGAACTTTTTATAACCTACATTCATGTATTTCTCATACAAATACTCTGCTTAATAGATGAGCACACTAGATCCAGCTCAGCCCATTCAAGGACATACCCTTTTCCTTTTATATACAATTTCCAGGTATGACAGTCACTGAAGTGTAGGTAGTTGAAGTTAATTTCAGGAAGTCAAGCCGACAAAACTAGAATCTTTACAGCAAATGAACACGTGTCTGCCTTACTTGGATATTTATTTGTATCACACTCACTTGAATCTCAATTCCTCAGTAATAATCAGGATTCTAGTAGCACCCGTCATGCAACAAAATCAAAAGTTAAGTCTGGCAGAGTACCCTGGACAGAAGTATAGGTACTGTGTGTTCACATCAGTGACTCGTCTATTTGCAAAAGTTAAATATGTACAAAAAAGGTTTAATAAGTAAGCCGGCAGTTACTATTACGATGATGAAGAGGTGGTTTTCTTTTTGAGCAGGTGCCGGATGTGGTCGAGGGTGGACTTTGGAAGGTTGGCAGACAAGCTCTTGTGCAAATGATGGGGAGGCAGATGCAGCTGCAGGGGATCGCGCAACCGTTGCAAGTCTGCCTCCAGGCGGGAAACACTGTCCTTTAGCTCATTGTAGCGACTCAGGTCAAGACCTACTTTGCGTGCCCGCTTGTGTAGAACAATAAGATGCTGCCTGTCCTTCACATCTGGCAGCACATATTCCTGAAGTCCAAAAGAAGTTCATCATTTCATGTATATATTTAAAATTTCTTTCATCTATGGTAAAAAAAAATATGATTCAAATACGCTACCTGCTTAGTAAGCACAAAGTAAGCATATGCAGCCATTGCAGTCCCATAGGTAACAAAGTAAGTGACTGGCTCCATAATGTCCCAAGAATACTCCCACCAAGTAAGTCTTGCTAGAATGCCGAACTGCACCGACATGAGTCCTAATCCAACCCATGTGAGAACATTAGTACGCCTTACTGCAACATCCTCTAATTCTTGTCTTTTCTGTAAACAAATGTAGTACATACAAACATAAGAAAAAATTAAATAATAATACCAATAATAACTATAACAACAACAACTCCATCTAGGGAGTATATGGCCCATAGTTAGTGGTGGAGCTTGAGTACTCCCATGAGCCTGAGAGCTATGTCAGCAGTAGCCTAGCTACTGGTCGGGCCTCCCTTACTGGATAGGTTGAAGGTGAGAGCTCCCACGAAGAAGTACTTCAGAGGAGGGTTTCTCAACGGCATCTTCGAAGAAGAAAGAACGGTTGATGAAGATGGCGGAAGACATAACCACAGCGTCTACTTCGCAACGGGCAGCTACAAATAGTGTGTCTCCACGATGGGGCGGCTGCATTCATTGCGGGAAATAAGTAGAGAGGGAAGAGTCACGAACTCGGACTTTTTGTTATAGGCCCACGGAGGGTACAGGAGAGAAACTGGATTGGCACAATAAGCACTGATTAAAAGTGGAGGACCGAGCATTGAATTAGCCAGTGAAGGAGGTTGCCTTCAGCAGGCAGCGAAAATCCGAGAGGGTTTAGTGATGCCGACTGGCGATGGGACCCCTTGCTGGGACCTGCGGGGGTGTCTCGAGTCCATTGTGGGTCGCAGTAACGGATGGCAGGAAATAACCCTTGGGTTGTGTAATCTGTCAACTACAACTTGCTTCCTGCGAAACTTCACTTCAAATCAAAGAACAAAATGGATAGAACACGAAAGAAATGTATGGTAACGTGCCTTATTCTAAGTGTCCCATACCTGCTCAGAAACCGATGTATCGTCACCTTACCGACTTCTGACCATCCCACGGATGTTAGTCCCAGGGACCCAGAGACGGCAGAAGGCAGAAGCCATCGTCAGAGATGGATACGAGATGAATTGAAGGAGGGAATGGTTTTACTATGCAAAAGCGAAAAATGGGGGTTCAGAAATAGAAGTTTACAAAATATGGAGAGAGCGGAACCCAGATATGAGACCTACCTTAGATTCAAAGAAGCTGGCCAGTCAACGGCGATACATTCACAGCATAACAACTTGCTGACACTCAGGGATATGTGGAGTATGTTCTTCGCTCGAATTATGCACATGAAGAACATTTAGAACCATCTAATACCTTGAAAAAGATTCGTCCTGTTTATAGTCCTTCTCTTCATAATGAAACTTATGTCACTGATGAAAATTTATCTGACTATGAATCACGCGAACGTTCAGGAGAATATACATGACAATGCTAAAGCTAAGAGAGAGATAGAGACAACGAATTCTGTCTTAAACGATGTGGTGCAGACCCCAGGGAGAGGTCAAGTTATTACTGAAATCAACCCCTTCGGTATGCAACTGGCTCTGGCATCTCAGATAATATTAGGCGGACAGCCGACAGCCAGAGTAAACAACTCCTTACCCCTGTGGACGAAAAGAATTATGAAACGGATAGCTGACACTCAGAGTCAAATATCTCTCTTAGCTGAGGCATCTCCTAAAGCAACGCACGCCTATAAAGTTAAACGAAAAATACACCATGTAGGACAAAAATATCAAATTCAAAATGACACAATAAGGATAATGGTAGCTGAGAAGGTAAAAGAGAAAATCTAAGCATAGCATAGGTTCAGCGCATAACACATTACAAATGTAGAGTAGATTTCCGTGTACAGAATCGGTTGTTTTAAACAGACGCGAAGAGATTCTACCGCAATCAGTCTCAAAAAGCTAAAGAGCAATGCCATCCTTCCTGTAAAAAATGTCGAAATATTTTGAGCAGGAATCTTAAAAGAAAGCATTTCCTAAAACAAAGACGGGTCTCGGCTCCAATGTGAAGTTGATGCTTCCAATGAACTTGTGGAAACAGTGACACATTTTCACGAACTCTTAGAGGAGAACCTATTCCAAGCAATTAAGAACATGGGAAACTGGAAATGGATTGATAAGATCCACAGTTAATGGATTAAACAATTAACAACATTACATGATCATCTAGCAAAGGTGGTTAATAAAATTTTAGATAATCCAAAAGAAACTCACAGAATGGCTCACACTCGTCATCACACATCTGGTACCCTAAAACGGGGGACAGTTCTTTGGCAGAGAACTACAGGCTAATCACTTCTTTGCCAGGAACGTACAAAGTTATAACTGAATCAATAGATAACAAAATATACTGGCACCTAGGACAGAACTGTCTGAAGCCGAAAGAAACAGTTTGTTGTCAGTTGAACAGAATGGATGCAAATGTTCTTATGGCTTTAAGGAAATCTTGCAACTAAATAAAGTCATCTTGAATGATGTAAGAAAACGAAAACGCAATTTAAGCATGGCTTGGATTGACTATCAGAAGGCCTTTGACAGTATACCACACGACTGGATTTTGTTAACCCTGGAGATCTATCGATTTGATTATAGACTTATTGAGTTTTTCAAGGCTAGTATGGAGTCATGGCGTACCAGGTTACTAGCGGGAAAAAAGAAATGGGAACATTTAAGTATTCACAATAAACAGGAGTATTTTTCAAGGAGATTCGGTATCCTCTCTGCTTGTTTGCATTGGTTTGAATCCACTACCTAAGACAGTTGTCGCACAATGACTTTGGTTATAAGCTCCTTGGTGATGAAAGGCCAGTATCACATCTGTTGTACATGTATGATCTTAAAGTGTTTGCTAAGAATGAAGCGATTCCCTCCCAAATGCTGTGTTTCGCCAATGATTTTAGCAAAGACATCTACAGAACATTTGGTCTTGACAAATGTGCAAAAGTCAGTTTCACAAAGTTGAAAGAGAGGCAAAGTGACATCAGAGGGCATTGATGTTCATATGAACGCTGTGATTCAAGATCTTGAGCCAGGTAAAACTTACAAACATCTGGGCATTGAAAAATGTGAGAACATCTCGAACGACACAATGAGAGAGAATTCGCAGGAATTTAAACAGAGACTTGACCTACAATCCCTTTTCAACTCCAGAAATAGAATATCTACCATTGGTAGTTTGGCGGTGCCAGTAGCCACACAGTTTCGGAATAGTGGACTGGACTGAGCAAGAAATTCGAATCATGCATTGAAAAATCAAAAACTGCTTACAATACATCACATTCCACTCTCACCCAGCTGATGTATTACATAGATTTTATATGGCACATAAGGAAGAAGGAGTAGGCCTCAGACAAATTGATGCTTCCTGGCACAATAGTCGGGATGGGAAAGTATGTAGTCAGTCATCACGATGACCTACTAATGAGGCTGCTCATTAAATCTGATCCAAGATTGGGAAACAGTGGCATTGTGAGTATAGCAAGAAGCATTGCGAAGAAAACTATGCAAGATACCTGGAATAACACAGGAACTGACATTCCGATGCTACTTCAAATTAAATGGAATAAACAAAAAAATGTTCAAGAAATCATACAGACACAAATCATTCCATGGACAATTTTTAAAATGAACCAGGTGAAGATCAATAAATATTAATAATTTACGTGGCTTAAAAGAAGAAAAACGAAGTCAGAATCGGAAGCAGTTGTAATAGCTGCTCAAGATCAGGCTTTGTGAACACATTATGATAAAGCGGTTCTCAAAATATCCCAAGATTATAAATGACGCATTTCAAGAAAGCAGTGGAAACAACCGATCATATTATAATCAATTGGTCCAATTATATCAAATACCGAATACTTGAAAAGACACGATGTGGTGTATAATTACCTCCACTGGCAAATCTGTAACGCCCTCGAAGTTCCAAACATGCTCCAAGTAGAAAAACCCCTCACCAAAACCGGTGACGTCTGTTGGACTGTGAACCTTATTATACGACCAACAAATTCAAATTGATAGCATGATAGCAGTAAACAAACCGGATATTGTTACCCGGGATTCGGAGAAAAAAAGTGTCAACTTGTAGATATGGCTGTGCCGTGCAATCAAAACGTTGTAACCAAGGAGGCAAAGAACCATCTTATATACAAGAGTTTGGAAATCGAGATCAGCCAAATGTGGGATGTAAAAGCACAAGTCATCGCGATATTTATCGAAGCACAGGGATTTGTTACACAAAATTTGTGTAAGAACTTGGGTAAACTTCCCAAATAATTCAAAACACTGGGAAGTGCAAGACATTGCTTTATTTGGAACAGCTCACATTTTGCGCATAGTATTGTAGGGACACCGAGAGTCCTTAGATCTGTTCCTCAGGAAACTGGTTGCAACCTGGAGTAGATTTTATGAGGTAGTCTAATTCATTACACATTTAGATATGAATTAGAGGAATAACAACAACAACAATAATAATAATAATAATAATAATAATAATAATAAAACAATCTCTTGAATGATATACATAACGAACTAAAAAGCAGAAGGTTACTTGCATTCTTTTCCAAATTTGTATCATCTTTCTACAGATTTTTGAAACTTGAAAACGTTTTTCCAACGAAATCTAATTGTATTAAATAAGTTTAAACTTTCAATCTCTTCCTGAAATTTCTTGTATTCCAGGTCGTAGTCATGTTCAGAAAAAAGTTTTAGAGTTCACACAATTAGGAAAACAATAATTTCTATAGAAATTTATTCCACTAATTTTTAATTCTAATTCCAGGAGATTTTCTTTATCTTCTTTTTAAAAAGTTTCTGATGTCAATTCCGGTCAATGTTATGGTGATAATCCTATTTTGGGCAAACTCTGCATTTTCGAAATTCCATGAAAGTTAACATTCCAAAACTGCAAAATATTAAAGATAGAGGTTTTGCCTTAGCCAGTGTTCCAAGAAATCAACTCTGTAAGAAAGGCGATGTAATTTTTTTAAACGAGTAGTTTTCGCGTAATTGTTGCTTGAAAGTAATGCAATTTATTAAAACACATTTTCTCAAAAACAGCTCCACATTTTTGTTCACGTCTAGAATAAAAGTACGCCTAAAAGAATATCATGGTTCTCATTTGCGTCGAACACTACATTTTCGGGTATTTGCAAATTTAAAAAGAATGCGAGAAAGTATAGGCTACCCTAACATCACTAGTTTCGTGCGGATCTCTAGGCGAATTTCAAATTATAAGAAGCTGAGTTTGTGCTCTCTCCTTACTGCACTTTGTGTTACTACATTTATTATTTGTAAATTATTTTTCATCCATTGATGATAATCTACCTTAAGAAGTTAATTCGTTGACGAAACGTCGTACTCTACAACTAAAATGCATTGTTCCGCAGTTTTAAAATACACATTTTGTCTTGCGTTGGACTCCGAACTGATTGTCTTATAATCTTAATATACCTATAATTCACAAAAGTTTACAACAGCTAACATAGCACGGAAGAGCAATGCTTTTTTCATCATGAACATTTTGCAGTGTATTTTAATTAGGCATTGCTTTTTAAAGTAGTAAAAGATAAGTCCCATTCACTATGAGAATTGTCAACATAGTGGATTGGCACTTCAAACGGGGAGGGATGAGGGAGGAGGAGAGCTTTACCTTTTCCAGAGGCTCCAGCTCCACTTTCAGCTCCTCCAGGTGACCACAGAGCTCGCGCTCCTTATTCAGCTGATGCTCTTCAACATTCAGAGCTTCGTAGAGTTGATGAACGAGATTACGAACATCTGATAGTCTGCGCAGTTCCTCCTGAAAATCATTTCAAAGCATCATAGATTACAAAGAAGAGAACTGACTCCATTGAGAAAGGTCTGGGTGTTGAAAGGAGAACTTTCTCAGTATTTCACTCAAATTGGACATCCAGTGAGTCTGTTGCCAGCGCAGACAAGTTTGAGAAACATATTCCCTTCCTCTTTACAATGAATGAATACATTTATAAGAGTTTTCTTAAACCTCTGCTACCATTTACTGTTTCAATTGTAAACATTTTATAATACAAATCTACCTGCTCCAATTGAATGTCTTGTGAAAAAAAAAATCTTATACAGTGAAAGTTTTCCATAGTAAATTAAATGCATGGCGAGGCGTAAAGATTTCCTTTGTTAGTTTACATCAAGATCTAAGAGTGACTTGATATTATCAGGTGCGTCCAGAGGAAACTAGAGTCCTGAGGCAGTCGATTCGGGAGCCCCTTCATTCAAACAAAAGTCCCACCCAATACGTAAACAGGATTGATTTTCCTGAGTAACAACAATTCCTTATAGTAGTAAATTTGAATTAGGAGTAAAGTAATCTTTAATTTATTTTGAATGAAAATAATTTTCGGGTTTGGGGTAAGTTACCCCAGCTGCTCCCCGCCCTTCTGGACACCCCTGCGTATTAAAGGCGGTCGGTTGCTCACACCACGCTGAACAGTGGCAATTTTATGCCACTACAACTGGAGATCGCAGTTCTGCTGGTTCAGGAATCTCAGCTGTCGGTGCTGGATCTTCCGGACGGCGAAACAATAGCACAAATAACTTGTATTTGCAACAGTATAGTTTTAACATTGGACACCGTAAGACCATACGAGCAAGGAAAATGTAAATGCCGATGATTTAAGTCTTGCGATACAAAACACAGTGCCAAATTTAAGTAAAGTTGGACTCGATTTGTAGTAAATCAGCACGATACCCGTTTAAAATGTAAATATTGAAAACGGGGAGACGTGTATGTGTGTGACGTGTATGGGGAGAAGAATATATTTTAAATTGATGTTTAGTATATTAATATTTTTATTGAAATTATTTATTTTGACTGTATTGTTATTGTAAAAAAGTAATCAGTAAAATCGAAGCACGGGAGAGATACTGTTACGAAATAAAAAATATACATTTGTTCCAGTTGTATTAAGTCGTGGAAACGAGACAATGAGGGATGTAACGTCGGTTACCATGGACGTGAGATTGATGAAGAGGACTGAAGAGACTTCAGAAAATAATGGAAGCTTCAGTGTATAAGGCCCGATATATTAATGTGGCATATTGATTTTAAAACACATATAGTACCTACATCAGAATATTGATAGTTTGGCGAAACCTTGGAGAAGGTACTTCAGAAAAACATAATCAGTGTTTCTCAAGTAAGGAACAAGACATATACGAAAGTGAAGAAGGTAACATTTGCCGATTGATTCTGGTTACATGAATTAACGAATAATATATTTTAGTGTGTTTGTCGTTAAGTGTTCTTATTTACATTACCTCAAGGAACAGAGGCTACCGGTGAATGGCAATTCAGCTGCAGCTCAATTTATTGGTGTTCAAACGAATGCGGCATTTACGTATGCATACGCTGTTGCGAGTTCAGTAGATTCATAACAACTACCATAAGCATCACGTGCCAAATGAATGAACTGTGCGTAAAAAAGGAAACAATTGGTTTGTGGGATACAATATCAATTAATGTCGACAGATTTACATGTTTTACAGGGCACATTTTCGATGTTTTTAGAGCATAAATGCATACATATTTCATAGATTATTATGATCGTAATCCGTTCCCTTCTAAATGTCCGTTCACCGCCCCTACCCCACGGTCTTCTGCGGGGGGATGCGGCGGTGCCAGCACACAAGACAGTACACACTAAGGCTACGGCCACAGAGCGGGCGAAATATCAGTCTTTAACCTGCGAGCAAACCGACCAACTTAAGTGATCCGAAAAATACCCAAATATTGCACCCGAAATCGGCCGAGTTTTCCCATATTTTTGGAGCTCATTGTTTGAAGCATTTGCAAGAAGCACGCTCACGACCCATCCACTTGCACTGCAGGCTGTCCGTTAATTTCCCCCCGCGGTGTTGCGAGTTCCCGTCTTGCTTTTCCCCAACCAGGTGTCTCCTACCAGCGAGGCACCGCCCTAGCCGGAACATGCCCTAAGCTCCCGACTGACCTCCCGGCATGTGTGGTAGTGTAGTGCGTGTGTACATGGTGAGGCGAGGACAAGGAAGAGGAAGGGAAGATCGCGTGCGGTCCATGACCCGTTTGTTAGGGTTCTACCTCAGCATTCGCCTGATGTTGATCGGAAAACCCGCGGGTAAGTACTGATCAGAGCAGCCGGACGATAGAATTCTCCTCCAGACAGCGGCTGAATTCAACCTAGCTAGTGTCGAAAATCCTGCCACTGCTGGGACTCGAACCTCCGAAATCAGAGGTACTGCAGTGACATCACTTGATGTCGTGAGCTACCTAGGCCAGTACTTTGATAAAAAAAAAACAAAAAATTAAAGAAGTTATTTAAAAATTTGAATTAGAAAGTTTTAAGGACTTTCTATACAAGAACGCTCAGCGTTTTAAACAATGAATTCACATAACGAAACTCGACAGTTGTGGCGTGACCCACCTTTGTGAGCTTCTCCTGGCGTGGCGTGTTGACGAGGTACTCGTTGTCGTTTACTATCAGCTTGAAGTCGTCCTCCATCAGCGCCTCTATAGTATTGGACGAGGCGATCCGCACGCCGTCTGCAGCACAAACAGAACACAGCAAATACTTAATTATTAATATTTTAATTCTTCAAAACTATCCAATATCGGGAAAGTAAGTTACACGACACCAAAATGAGTCGACGGCAGCATTAGAGGCTCCGGCGGATGTTGCCGGAAGTTTGAAGCGTCGCGAATGCGTTGAACTTGAAAAGGGCATTCGCCCCCAACGCGTGTGTCGTGCCACAGCGGGCGCAGAGAGAGGGCGGGGCTATGCTCCGCGTCGCCGGGTTCCACCAGGAACCCGCCACTTGCGCTCCTACCCGCCGACCTTTGGCACGATCGGCCGAGGGACGCGTTCCTAGATCCACACATTCCGGCGACACGTCGACAGCTGCAAGTGAGGAGACGAGTGGAGGGCCTCGGTTTTGGTTTCATTGCGAGAGTGCCCAATACGCATTGGCAATTGAGTAGGGATTCGTTTCGTTGTATTGTTAGTGGCGCCTAATTAGGCTCCGGTGCTAGCCCGAAGAGCTAAAGCTCTGAGCTGGCAGACTGGCCCCACCCAGTCTTAATTGAGGAGGTGCCCGTGACAGACACTGCGGTCCGGCGGGATACAGATGCCAGCCCAAATGTGCATTTGTGGGCTCGCGGGAGAGCGCATAGAGGCCAAAGCCCAGGTGCCCACTCCGGGGAGTCATCCTGGAAAAACAAGCTTGCGTAGTAAAGAAGGCTGCACGGTATACAAATATCCCCGTAGTGAGATTACTGTAGTAGACCCTGTAGTACCTATCAATTTCTGTACTGGGATTACAACGTCACCACGGATAGTTAAACCTACTGAAGGCGTTGCAGTCGGGGGCCAGCTATTCTCCCGAATACTTCATTTTTGTGGTTCGCTCAGGATGAAATGATATGGGTAAGCTGCAAGTTTGCTCGTTTGGTGCAGCACCAGATCCCTCCGGAACCACGTGACTACAACTTGGACACTTCGTTGGAAAAGCCAGGTCAGTCGCTGTGTGCCTTGCTGCACGGGAAGCGCGAAGTGTTGACTAACATTTTGAAAGATGAATAAAGATATCATTTTTAACCAGAACCAGATACCATTTTTAACTAGACCAACCAGAAATACGACCAAGGCAAGTTGAAATAAAAGTCGCAATATTTTTTTAAAAATACTTGATATATCTGTTTCAATGATTTCAATGACATTTATGAACATTACTTGGTATGTGGCTCCCTTTTAATTTCCCGCCAATACCGTATCGTGACGCAAACTGGTGCATGAAGGTCAATGGCTGAAGCCGGATAGGCTGCGAAGCGGCTTCCTCTTGCCATTGCATCACGGGTTTGTGGAATTCCTAACAACAGAGTCACGTACAATCTGATGATCTCCGACGCGGCGACTCAACATCACCCACATGGCCACAAACGAAGCGGTGGAACATCGCGTTAGCGAAGAAGGGAGCATTATTTCAACCATTTCTCAAGGCAACATGCCGCCACTGTCTGATGCGCAATTCTACGCATTTCGTCTGACACGACCAAATTCCAACACATTGTTGCCAACCTTGATAAAAACACTGCTAAATAAGAAGATATAATTATGACACAATTACAAACGGTAAATATCAGAAACTGAAAACCGAACTCATCAAGTCCATGTCGTACATTTCTGAAGAAAGAAGAATTTACCGGCTTGTATATCATGAACAACTCTTAGATAGAAGACCGACACAATCCCTTTATGTAAAGTTCTTCCCCAAAATCCAAATATTAGAACTCGTGGGTTCTCCAGTTTGTTTAGATCGATCGGGGAATATCAATTTTCGTTACCAGGGCCCGACAATAAGAGATTTTTTCTGCCCCTCCCCCCAAAATAATAATAATAATAATATTTAAATAAATAAATAAAATTTAAAAAAATCACCGATTATCACGCCGAGGCTCATGGGCAGAGAACTAGCTTTCCGTAGTTTGATCCCGATCGGCTCAGAAATAGAGCTGTACTAACACCAATCATCTCCGTTTGTACGGCTGCGTGACGGAAGAGGAAGTCCCTGCAGGCCTACGACGGGCACGTGAATCCGTCGTGCTCGCCACACGTCTCCCTTTTGCCGCGATGCGTGCATTATACACAAAACAAAAACCGGGCCCAGGCATGGGAAAAGTGCGATTCCTCCGACCCCAAACGCCCCAAGCGCGCCGGCTCAAAAAGTGGGTCTCCCTTGCTCAAGCGGCGCTGGGCGCGCGATAAGGATATCGCACGATCGCTCGGTGCCGCGCGCCGCCGCCGCCGCCGCCGCCGCCATCTCACCTAATTGGTTTGTGCTGAAATATGAAGCGCGCTGGATTGAGGGGAAGCCGCGGACTCCCAGTGGAAGAGCGCACCTCGGCCGTGGACGATTTGGGCTTCCCGACGGACTGAATTTATTCCCTTTCCCTTCGCTTATGCCTAAGCCACGGATAGGTTTTCCTCAGCCAGTGTTGCACATTTTTACGGTACGTCTTTTTTGAGTTGCGTTTCGTAAGGAAATTGTTGAAGGAAATCATACAAAACTATTTTTACTTTTCTTTCCCTACTACAGTACAGGGACGAAAAATATTGGAATCACCTCAATAATATGATCTCGAATATGGTCATAAAATCTGTGTTTCAAGTTCTTTTCATCGCACACGTGAGAGTTACGGTCTATTAATGTTGTTCCAAAAATACACATACAAACTTATGCTCTAATTTTTATGCAATCGGAGAGTAATACAGTGTGGACATATCAGGGTCGTTGGGAATATCACGATAAAACCTACTCTAAATTGGTTTATGCGCTGTGGCCATTACGTGTTTAAATTTAATGATCGCAGATTAAGTAGTTTTTGAGTTAATCGGTTCTTACAGACAGGAAGCAAAAATTTATTTCACAGATTTCTTTGAGTAATCAAATAAACAAGTTAAAAAGTGTTCAAATGTTGAAATTATTAAATAAAAAAGACAGACACTTCCCATTTGTTTCTTGTATCTCTTATTTAATTCTCCTCTAACACAGTGTACTCAGAAACAATTCTGGATCCTTGATAACGAAAAATCAATTTACAGCACAAGGTCTGAGTGCATCCGTCTCTCTATCTGTCTGGGGTCAACGCTAGCGATTACACCGTTCAAACGATTTTTTCTAAAATTAATATTTCCTGATTGACTGAAAGGAACGTAAAGCTTTTTGAATTCGAAACGAATATTTTGAATTTTTAGGGTACTTTACATGAAAACCAAATTACATTTTCAAAATTTTCTAATTTTTTTTTGGCTTAAATTTCTCGTATACGTAGATATAAACTGAGTAATGTACGAAGTACAGGGAAAGTTATGTAATGCTGCGGAAAATCAATATCGAGATTTCAACGGAAATACACATATTGGGGACCCCTGATATCGAAAAAGTATAGTTTTTTTTTTTCTTCTTCTTCTTCAAAACTTCCGTCCGTCTGTCCGTGAACATCACTAGAAGAAAACTGAAGAAACCCCTGTCCATCGGGCTCGAGTCAAAGCTTTGAGATTTAAAAAAACATTCTTTAAAATTTGGGGGTATTTTACATGAAGTGCCCCGGACATGTTCAAAATTCTCAAAAAAACGACTTAATTTTTTCTTTAAATTTCTTGTTAGAATAGAGAAAAATACACTTATAAAAGTGGCGTCGGTACGATGTGATCGGTTAACTCTGAATTTTCGAAAATTGCAAAAGTATGAATATTTTTCGGTGTCTTAACGGTACAGATTTTTCCTTGAAATGAAATTTGTTGTTAATAATTAGTTTTTATATTGTGGCCATGTACATTTTTTAAAAAATTTTAGCAGCTTTCGCGCAATATTTGCAATTTAAAAAAAATATATAAACAAGATTACCTAATTTTGTTTAAACTTTTGGTTTGGATAGTGCTAAATGTACTCTTTGAGATGACATGAACGCGATATTACTCTTGTTTTTACAAAAATTACAAAAATTTATTTTTTATTGTCTCTTACCTTGTTAATACTTATATCAGCGGCGATTTATTCGCATTTTTATACATTTTCAGCAATTTGTAAGCAGTATTGTATTTGAGAGTGAAAGTGTCTCAAATGACTTCTACTGAAGTGTTTCGTAAACTCAAAAATTGTCTGTGATAAAGAGATATAAATTTCGAATTTACAGTAGCTCTTTCACTCCTTTATCTTAAAAACAGCTCCAAATTTTTCAAGGATTATTGATATTTAGAAAGAGGTTTTACTGTTCTTTATAATTCTTAAAATAATATTTCCGTTCTAATATCAGTAAACCGAAACATCAAGAAAATTACAAATAATGCACTTTGGGCGGCGACATTTGGCAGCTGGTCAGAGTATGTGGCAAGTGCGAACTGCAAGCTGAGACCAAAGGAAATAGAAAACTAATGCAGGGAAATTCTGTCGCACCACTAGTTTTATTAACAGTTACCCTCTGATTGAGGACGCTTGAAAGAATGGCGCAGGTCTTAGTTTCGTCGTAATCCCTGATCTTTCGAAAATAGCAAAAGCTCAGTTTTTTTCCGAGTCTTCTTATAACTACAATAGTGCAATACTAGTTTCATAAAAACAACTTGAAATAAAGTCATGGACAATTCTTTGAAAATATGAGTCGGCGAGTTTGCGTGAAACATAAATTTTGAAACAATTTTAAACAATTATTTTCTCAACAAAGGTTCTACATTTTTTCTTTAATTTTTTCCCTCGTAAGCAAAGAACAGCAAAGAAAGTAATGCTGGTCCCATTTTCGGCGAACTCTGTAATTTTGAAAATTACAAAAAATTAACATTGCAAAAGTACAATAATGATATTTTTAGTTTCTCGCACTTACTCCCTAAAAAGAGAATATATTGTAATAGTGCGACAGAAAACTGAGAATTTTCGACAGAAAAACTCATTGTCAGGACCCGGTAACGAAAAACTGGATAAATGTTGTTTATCTATAGAGTAAATTACTTCCTCAAACACGTTCTGAAATCAGAATCCATGACCCATTCTAAAATACACACAGCTCACATACCCCCTATAATGCACACCCAATCAGCACAATTCTGCGACGATACCGCAATCTACAACTGCAGCCATTCACTTAAGAGCTTAACCGACAGGACACTTCACCTAAATAAAAAATACAACTGGTCAAATTTATGGACAATCAAACTTAACCCAATTAAATCACTCGCTAAAATATTTTCTGTAAGACTTAGATTTTAGTAAAATTTTTTTAGTAGTATTTATTTAGTAAAACAACCTACAAAAACTATGTGACGTATGGGGGTTAAGATCATCTGCGCACGTTTCCTTGAGTTCCAGAATACATTCCCATCATTTCACCCA